TCCTCCCGAGCCATCTTTGCGTACATCGCGATCAGAGCTCTGACGGGATCACAACCTACATCAGGGCAGCATTGCTGCCTCAGGTGGTGGGATCAGGCGCGTCCTAATCATGATCCGAGAAGTTAGCAATCAAATTGGGGATCATGTGTGCCTGTGCCCTAGTGTCCAAACCTCTCGTAATATGGGAAACCTACGACTGAATTGTGGCACTCCTATTGAGATTCAAGCTAGCTAGAGAGCTTATGGTTGTGAGGTACAAAGTTCTGTCTTTTGTGATCTAAGACTTTTGGGAATAATGGTGGCCAAGAAAATAGATAATTTGGAGAAGAAATGGGAGGAAGAAATGAACCAACTTAAATATGAAATAAAGGAGAAGTTCTCGACCATCAATAAAAATTTGTCATCCATGGAAAACTGATTTGAGCGTTTGGAGGAGATGATGAGGAGACTTATCGAGATGTGATCCAAGAGCCCGCCAGCAGTTTTATCTGCAAACCCTAACCAAGTGTTGACTGGAGATTCATTGGCTAAATCAAAAGAAAAGGAGATCGTACGAGAGGAACACGATGAGGAAAGCATCCGCCATCAAGAATCTCCTCACAGGGCTTCGATGAGGGGGTGGATTATAAATAGCCAAGCGAGCCGGTTGGGCCTAAACATGGATAAGGGACTATGCAAGGGGCATGGAGAGGCACGAAGAAGAAAAGAGAGAAGCCGGGATGGAGTACGACTGTAATTGAATGACCCTCGTACATGGGGGAAAGAAGTGGAGGGAGAGGAATTTGGGGTAGAGATGCTAGTGTTAGGAAGTTGAAGATGTCGATCTTCGAGGAGAAGACACACATTGATGGGTGTACCGGGTGGAACGATGTTTTGTGGTGAATGAGCTAAATGGGGATTATAAACTAATGACAACAGTGTTATGTTCTAAGGGGAAAGCTCTAGCATGGTTTCGGCCGAGGGAGGTTGGATACCTAATCCTCTTGTGGGAAGACTTTAAGGATTGCTTATTCGAATGTTTCTGAGCCAATTGGGAAGGGGACTTACACAAGAAATTCCTTACATTGACTCGGGAAGGGACTGTCATGGAGTATAGAAAGATATTCGAGCTACTGTCGGGTTGGCTAAGGGGGATTTCTGAAGCATTATAGGAGAGAAATTTCGTGAAGGGTCTAAAGCCTGACATACACACGCAACACTCCAACTGTTGAGACTGTGGGGATTGAGGGAGACGATGAAGCTAACCCAAATGGTGGAGGACAAGTACAAGATGGAGATGACCGACAGAAGCAGCACCATGGGAAAATTACACAAGAGTACCTCGATGATCATGACATCGATGACCCATTCAACATCATGTCAAAGGGAGGCGCGGAAGGAGAAGAATATGGAGGACCGTCCAAGGGTCAACTTCAAGTGCCTTACAAAAATAGGGATTCGGGAGAAACGGGCAAAAGAGTTATGCTTTTTGCATGATGAAAAGTTTGTCTCAGTGCACTATTACGAGGATCGGACATTACAGGTTCTCACAGTATATGACGAGGAGGCAGGGGAGCTTGATCCAACAATAATTTCCTTTTATCCATTTTGAGGACACGGTGCTTTTTTGGGAGGAAAGTTTTGCTATGTCGGTGCTCAGCCTAAGAGTAATTTTGTCTTTTATGCGCCTAAGGGCAATTTAGTCCTTTTGTCATTTATTATTGTTTAGTATAAATAGGGCTACTATGTTTTGGACTATGGTTATGCATGAGATTGTTATTGAGAGTCTTAGGTTTAGAGTTTGGGAGAAATTTCATCTCTCTCAAATTGGATGAACTCGAGAGATCGTCTACCTCTCAAAAGAATTATTTTGCCTGAGTATCTGTGTCAATCGTGTCAATTTTTGCATCGGATTGTATAAGAAGCCCTCCAAAGGAGCTTTTCTATTATATGTTTTGGTGAATTTTGTCATTGAAATATTGAATGGAATTTGTAGCTGACTGTACGTTTTCTTACTTGAAATTGCATTTTTCATATTGTGCTGTTGAATTTGTTCATTCAAACACTGAATGCCGTTACCAGATGTGCATATGAATTGATAAATGGATGTGATTGCTTGCCGAATTCCCTCTTATTATAAAGCTTTTCTAATACATGAGCATACAAACCACAACATTCTTATGTATTTGCACATCGAACACCTAAGCTTTCATGTTTACATAAATAACACTCAAATCTGTAATATCACCAAAAAAATTCACTATTCTTGCCTTTTAGATGTGAAGTACACCTTTTTCATGGCTAGTTTCTTAACACCAAAGTGTTATAAATGTAAAATAAACATGCCAAAATATAAGAATTGTTTGAATTTATGTAAATTTCCCGTGCAGATCAAGTTCCAATTAGGGCTGTCAAAAAATCTTGTTGTTCATGAACAGCTCGTCTTCAGCTCATTAAGTTGCTTGTGTTCGGCTCGTCCATTAAGTAAACGAGTCGAACACGAACAAGTTCTTAAATCTCGAATTATGAAAGAGCCGAACATGAATAACTCTTTGTTCGCTCGTGTCAGGCTCGTTTTTAGCTCGAAATAAAAAATATATATATCTTTGTGTGTGTGTGTGTGTGTGTGTATCTAAGTTTAATTAGTAACAGCTCGTGTGGTAATGTGGTTATGTGTATTTTTTTATATATATTTGATTCAGGTTTGAATTTAACACACTACATTTTTTTTTTTTTTTTCAATTTGATTTAACGAGTCAATTTCAAGCCGAACATGAACATAAATATTTAAATTGAGCCGAACACAAAAAACATTGTTCATCAGTTGATTTCAAACACGAACAATTTTGAACTAGCCGACCATGAGCCAAGCCCTCATTTTTGGCCTTAGTTCCAACATAGCTCCTTTAAAGCACTGATAGAGGCCAGAAGTTTAAATTATGTTATTTGCACTGCAAATTGTCATACCATGCCTTGCAATTAGTAGAGAATTTGTCTTGAAATTTGAAAAATAATGTATTTGTTATATAAATGAAAGAATAAAATTAAAATGGACATAAGAGGATGGCAGTTTTGTAAATAACAATATTTTGAATGTATTGCATTTAAATACCATTTATTTCTTGCTTAATTGAAGACTACGCAACGAAAATTTAAATTATAATTTTCAATTAGTACTCTACAAATTTACATTTATAACACCAAAAAATTTGATATTTACATTTAAATTTGCTGTCATAAATACATAAATAAATGTATGAAAATATGTGTGATTCTTACAAAAGTTAGCAATGGCTGTATTTTTTATGTAATATTAAAGATTTTATTTGGGTGTTATGCATGCTAATTTTATCCTGAAATGCAGCCCGCGGGTCGATCGCGGGGTTCAACCCACGGCCTGTGTTTAGTGTAAAAATAGAACCGTGTTTTCGGATAAATAGGTAAAACGCGCGATCCAAACGGTACCGCGGCGTTTTCAAAAACGCCCCTGCACTTTTAAGCTGCCCCGAATGGGTCCTAAGTGTTAGATATGTAAATGCAGATGATTTGTGTGGTATGTATAAAAATAATCATTTATAAAATTAAAATAGTTGATTGCGATTAAATATTTTTTGTTTTATTTATCAAATCAATATATTTGCATAAAAACAATAAAAGAAATAATATTTTTCTTGTATTTTTTTATATAAAAAGTAATAAATATTACCTTCCACTTTTATCTATCTCTGCAAGCAAAGAATCAAAACAATAATATCATAATCACTTGAAGTATAATGCAAGAATGAGTGGCTTATATTAGCATGCAAGCAAGCTTTCTACTCAAATAGCTTTGGCAACAAGAGCAAATAATGGCATTCTAGCTATTATATAAAAGCTAAGGCCTTTGCCTTCCCATCCTTCTTCACCCCACTATTAAAACACAACCAAGGATGGGCTCATCCTCCTCTATTGGCCTCCATTTTTTCATGCTCTCCCTTTTACTCGGTCTCTCTCTCTTCCTCTCTTCATTTTGTCTATGTTTTTCTACAATACAACTTATGATGTCATTCATGTCAATTGCCTTAGTTAGTGGCAAGGTGTATTTCATTATGTTATAAGCAAGAAATTTGGGGGTTGTTTTGTATGGTGTAGAATTAGAGGGTAGGTCCATGAGTGGATAAATTGATTCTAATGATATGGAGGTTACGAGCCATGAAAAATACCATATTCTATTATAGAGTAAGTCTTTAAGTATGATAAAATCATGCATGCAAATAAAAAACATATTTTTTAAAAAAAAAAAATTGGCTTTGTTTTCATTGATTTTATATGTGAAGATGATGTGATTAAAGCGGGGAGCTTTTTAAAGAGATTTGTAAGGCTTAGTCAACATTAGTATTTCGCTTCATTCAATCAAATGATAAATTCAACTTTATATTCATTATCCTATAATATGTATTTTCTAATATCAAACAATAGCATGAAACTTGAAGACAACTAATGATCAATATCTTTTAGGTTCCTTAGTTAATGGGCATTTGCATTGTATATATTTTTTTTCTAATTTATTATATCTAATTTGAAAATTTTGAATTATTTTTGCAAAATTATTTGTTATTTAAGATTGTTGGTATATGCAATTAGTATGTAGCTTTTCTTCAATGATATGCTTTGTGTATTGAGGATGGAGGCCATATGTTTTAGTCTATTTTTTGTATTGTTTTATGTTGAATATTATTATGCGCTTTACATGAAATTAAATATGCATTTAAATTTGTGCTTTCTTTTTCTATGGTTGATCTTATGCTCTACTTATTTATAAATAACTATATGCTACATTTTCAATTAATAACATATTTTTTACAGACTTTTATCTTTAGAAAAAGGCATTTGACATTTGAGGCATACATTAACTTTTCACCTTGATTGTCTCACCAACTCACACAACCCTTATAAATTAATCAAATTGCACTATATAACTATTTAACATATTTACTCATATTATTCTCATTAGGTGCATTTTTTATGTCATGTCATCATAGGTTATCTTGTCAAGGGACAAAATGTATCATTTTATATTAGAAATGATTGCCCATTTGAGATATGGCCAGCAATTGCTCCAAATGTTGGCCATCCTGTTCTTGCTAATGGTGGATTTTTGCTATCTTCGGGAAAGACTAAGAGGATCCAAGCTCCTCCCCAATGGAATGGGCGCTTTTGGGCAAGAACTGATTGTGACTTCTCATCAAATTTAAACCCTTCTTGTCAAACTGGTGATTGTCAAGGTTTGTTATTTTGCAATGGAACAATAGGCTTACCTCCCGCCACACTTGTAGAGGTAATTAGTTTGTTTTTTAAATAATTAAGTAATATATTCTTCTATTTAGGCTTCCCTTGGTATAATTATAGTAATTTTATGTCTTTTGTGTTATTCTATAAATTATAATTACTCTTCTGCACACACATAAAAAAATCTTATAACTACTTTACCATTGAACCAAACAATATTTTTTAGGAAAATTTATATGCATACCACACAATTTTTATGCATTTAGATATCTGACACATAAAGTTTGATATTTGCAGTTATAACATCTTGGTATTAAAAACATATGCATGAAAAAAGTATATTTCACTTTAAGAAGTTAATGATAGTGGTATTTTTTTATATTATGTCAAATATTTTAGTGTGAAATATTTGAATATAATAATTTAGGTGTTAGAATTGTCAATATATAAAAATTGTGTGGTATGTATGTTAATGCTTCTATTTTTAATATTTGTTATTATGATCCATTTTTAAAAAGTTAAATATTAATTCATTTTATGAATGTTAACATAAACTTTTTTGCATTTGTTAACCAACATCAATCTCAATCTCTTATATTAAGATTTGGGATTAATAATGATTGATAAAGTTCATTCTGAATATGAAGTATTTGACTATAATGATGACATCTCATTTATAGGTATTAGCAAGGCCTAGAAAATTTAATTCATGAATTGTAATGAAAATTCAATATTTGATTATTACCTAATTAAAATCTTAACCTTTCAAATTTATGGGTAGGTTTGTCGATGTTGGTTTTGTAAATAAGTGAAACATAACGAGTCATAAAGCTACTCTCAAACAATAGAGATAAGACCGATAATGATGAAGTCTCTTTTCTCATATATGTGTTTGGCTTGTGTAGGTTTCGATTCAAGAAGAAACTTCCAAACCTAGCTTTTATGATGTGAGTCTTGTTGATGGCTACAACTTGCCTGTGTCAGTATCTGCAAGGCCAACAAACCCTAATTGCTTAATACAAGGTTGCAAAAGAAGTGTTAATGATGTGTGCCCTGAAGAGCTTCAAATTTTAGATCAAAAAAGAGATGTCATTGCATGCAAGAGTGCATGCTTGGCTTTCAATCAAGACATTTTTTGTTGTAGAGGTTCATATCAAAGCCCTGAAAAATGCAAGCCTAGTATGTACTCTAAGTTGTTCAAGGATGCATGTCCTTCTTATTTCAGTTATGCTTACGATACGCCAACACCACTTATGAGTTGTTCTTCAAAAGTGTATGTTATCACTTTCTGCCCCTCTAAATGGAGAAATCTTGAATCTGTGTAATAATACTAAACATATATAAAATAAATATGATTTCATCTCATCATTTTTTATCTCATGAACAAAAGATAGCCATTGATTTTGTTAATCAGATGTACAAGAAAGGATTTTGATTGATGATTTCAATAAAACTTATGCATGCAATATATATCTCATCGAGATACTTCAAGCACATGAAAGTAGGGTTTTTTATTAGTAAATTGTATTGATTTATCAATTTTTAAAAGCTGCGCATGAGCAGCATATCAAAAGTATTTAAACAAAAAAGAACGAGTGAAAGAAAAATTATCATAAAAGGCTAAATTAATCATATCCCACTACATCAAAGCATTTATTTTCATAGTAAAAATTCTTTTAAAATATCATATTAATCAAACTATTGATTAACTAATTGAGTTCTTCATATAGGCCTTAGTTATGTTGTAAGAAATTAGTAATTTAAGAATTGATAGGCATTGCCATTTCTTATAAAAGTGTATTGGACTCCACAAACTTTCAAGTAACCACAATTTTATACCACTCAATAAAGATACACTGGTTTGATCTATAAAAAATAAGTCTAACAACACATTATCATAAAATTATTAGCGGGTCTTCGTAACATTTTATGATGAGGTACTATTAATGTTGACATTGGCAATATTAATTTATGAATCCTATTCATTTGGATCCTTAAATTTTGTAGTTTGGTTGAATTTTGTCCTTAGAAGTTAGAAAAAATGTAGGAAATATCATCTAATTATTTATAAAGATTAATCTAAAATCATTGGGCCTTAGTACACATTTTCTATTAAAGCTTTGACTAAGAGCTAACGCTATCATGAAATCTTAAAGTCTCCATCCAAGAAAGATAGCCATCAAACCCTTTTTTTTATTACAAAGACTTGTGTGATTTTAGTATCTAATGAAGTAAAATTTAATCACTTCTTTTATTTTAGGTCTGTTTAGGGGCAGCTACAGTTTAATAAAAAACAGCTTTGAAGTTGTTAAATAATAATTTGATACTCAAAAAGCTACAATGACTGTTATAATTTTTTTTTAAGTCAGACTGTAGCTAGAAAGTTGTCACCACAACTAGCCAGGAATAGTGGGAAAATGCAGAAATCAACAACTTCTTTTTGGAAAAACTGCTAAAACGCAGTTTACCTAAACAAACAAACTACGGCACAGTGTCACACTGCCACCTCACAGCAGCCCCAAACCGACCCTTTTATAAGTTCCTAGATATTTTGATGTTGTTCATCTAGCTATTCTACAATCTATATTAGATCAACATGTAGGATTATTATTATTATTATTATTATTATTATTATTATTATTATTTATTTTCTATTGATATTTTTATAAAGTTCTTAAGGGGCATTTATATACATACCAACCAATTTTTATGTATTTACAAATCTAACGCTCAAAGTTTACTTTTTTACATTATACCGCCCAAATCTTTCATATCAAATAAAATATACGTCCGCTTTAACTTTAAAAAGATGAAATACACATTTTCATGTGTAGTTAAGGTGGCATGTATGTAAAAGTTGAAGTTTAGGAGTTAGATATGCAAATACATAGGAATTGAGTGGTATGTATGTAAATCTACCATTTGTTAAATTAAGAAAAAAACAATCCCCTCCATCAAATTAATATTAAAAATACACCTTGTTTGTACTTTACTCTTTCAAAATAAAATATTGGCCAATCATATAAATACAACATTGTTCTTATGTATTTACATATCTACCACCTAAAATTTTTTACACACAAATCTTTAATATTACATAAATAACACTATTACTAACAATTTAGAAGTGAAATACATTTTTTTATGCACAAGTTTATTGCAACAACATTATCAATGTACATATTAAACTCTAAGGGTTAATGATGTAAATAAATAGATATTTAGTTGTATCTATGTAAATTTCCCTATAATATTTGCATTGAGGTCTTAATAATGTCACTATATAAAACTTTCATATTCACTTAGGGTCCGTTTGCCGCAGCTTATTTGGTGTGGCGGTGTTTTAAAAACACACATGGTCTGTTTGGGTAAACTGTGTTTCAGCAACTTATGTGTTTTTAAAACACTGAAAACAGCGTTTTAACACCGCACCTATTTAGGTGCGGTGACAACTTTCTGACCGCGGTCTGGCTTTTTCAAAAAAATAAAAACTTGTAATAGCCACTGCACCTAGTTAATAAACAGATTATTTTTAATCAGCTTATCAATAGATTATTCAACAAGCTGCAGCTGCCCTAAACAAACCCTTAGACTTGCATCTTAAATGTCAAATATAGTTATTCATGCATGCATTTATGACACTAACATTACAAATATTTATATGAAAGTTTATATATTAGATATATAAATAAAAGCATTGTTTAGTATGTATATAAATTTTTCATTATATTATTTTATATTATACATAAGCATCTACAATTTGGCTTGAATTTATGCGAATGAAGATATATAGAAATAATGTCTTACATATTGGGTAATTATGTATTTATATATCTAGCACCCAAAGTTTGGTATTTACACGTATATTATCTTGTCTTATAAATTTATGCATGAAAAGATGTATATAGCCTTTAAAAATTAAGTGATTGTGATAAATATTAAAGATGTGAATGGTTGGATATAAATATGAGTGTTAAGAAGTTAGATATGTAAATAGATTCAAATTGTCGGGGTGTTTACATACATAGCACACAATTCTATATGTTTACTGTGCACAAAAAAATATGTCAGCACGGATCTCAAGGTAAAACAGACGGCTAAGAAGGATGATGGGGTCGATCGGCATTCTTGTTAGCGATCCACGGATTAATGTTAGAGTAAAGGAGGCGTTTGGATCGTTCAATCGTAAGGACGTGCCAAAAGATTTCCCACTAGATGACGATTGACATTAAGGCCGATCGGTAAATTGTTGAATTTTAGATCAAATAATAATTAAGTTAAGGTCGGGCGAACGACTGACGAACTTCTTGTCGACCGACATCAATCCTCCATTCTTATTATATTCAAATATATTTATAATTACTAAAAAACCTATGTAAAAGCTAATGATTAGGTGACTAACATGTAATTTTGTAAGATCGAGGTCTATCCCTATAAATAGGGGGACTCATATCATGAATAAATGTTACACATTCTTGTGATTCTCGACCACACTCTCTCCCTTCACTCTCTTCCCACAACGTTCTTTACCTTGGGCGTGCTTTTTAATCACTTTTGGATTCAACATTTACATATCTCTCGCCTTACCTTTTATATTTGCACACATATCACTCAAAATGTTTAATCCCACATCAAAAACATCTATTATCACTTTTTAAAACCCAAATATATATTCCATGCACATGTTTAAAATATCAAGTATGTATATATATATATATATATATATATATATATATATATATATTACATTCCAAACAATTCTTATCTATTTTTATATATCAGGTAGTGTTAAAATAGTCTTAAACTGTTTACATGAGATCATTTTAGTTCTAGAGTTTACGATAATATCAAAATAATCCCTGCTTTTTTTAAAATAGAACTCTAATAATTCTCGATGGAGACTATTTCAATCATAATTTAAAGTGTGGGGACTATTTTGACACTCTTATAAATTCTGTGAGTAAAACTGTTCTAAATAAATATTTCAAGATTATTTTAACACTTTACATTTTAAGTATTTAACATCTAATATTTGATATTTATGGTTGATTTTTATAAGCTAATACATGAAAATAATTATGTACCTGTCTTTAAAAATATAATAATAATGATATTTTTGACGTGATGTTAAAGATTTGATTGGTATGGATGTAAATTATAAATGTTCGGAAGTTAGACATGTAAATACATAAGAATTGTGGGGGTATGTTTGTAAATGTGCCTAATTTCTTTTTAATATTGCTATAAGTCGAAATTAAAGAACCAATACATTCTAAACCCAGTCAGCCATCTTCTAATGACTACATTGAGAAATTAAGGAGAAACCGCGGGGGGAGAGAGAGAAAGGGATAGGAAACCGAGAGAGAGAGAGAGAGAGAGGGCGCGACGAAGGGGGTCGGGATTCTCGAATCAGAGCAAAGCCGAGCAGGAACAGCCATAAAGGCGTCTCCTTGTCTTCAAATCTGCTCTAGGGTTTATCTAAATCTGTTCATCGCCTCCTTGTTCGATGCTATTGACGTCGCGCAATCAAAAGTTTGCTTTTTGATTGGTCAACCCTGGCGTGTTTCAGGGCTAGGTGATGGCTGACGCGCCTCGCGACCACCCGCGGAGCAGCAGCATCGTTAGTCGGATTCAGCAAGACGCCAGCTGGTACTGGAGTTCATTGTCCGGGAGTCTAGGGTTAGGGTTTGGGATTGAGTTAGAGAACGTGGCGAGGGAAGTATGCTGAGCGTGCTAAGGGTTCACCTGCCGTCGGAGATTCCCGTCGTAGGCTGCGAGATAACGCCCTACGTTCTTCTGAGGCGTCCGGACAATTCCATTTCGAACGACGATGTGCCTGAGTCGGCGCCCCTTGATGGTTACTACATGAGATACAGGTGGTAAGTTCTCTGCACTAAGCCTCCAACCTCATTGGAAGATTTTTGAATGGCACTTTTCTCATATTCAGTTTGAAATTTCATTTTTTTTTTGTTGGTGTGAGTATTTTAATCCCTTGTAAGTTTAGATCTTTTCAGGAGAAGGGGGTTTAGGACTGGTAACAATGGCGAGTATATGATATATAATAACATTAGTACATGGGGGCATTTACACAAATTCAACACGATTCTTATGAATCTACATATCTAATACCTAAAATTTGAATTTTTTTAATTTTTTTTTTTATTTTTACATTTTTAACGCTTAAATCTTTCTAATCACATCAAAAATACTGTCAGAACTAACTTTTTAGAAGTGAAATGCAAATTTTGATGCAGAGGTAAATATCAATGCTTAGCTGTTAGATATGTAAATACATTTTGGCTTTACCATAGAAAATATATTGAGTTTTGCTGATTTTATAACTTGCAAATTGAATTTTGGTTGTTAAAATTGAAAGTTAATTTGGGATATTTCGTTTTAAGAGAATATTATATGAGTAGAACGGTCAATTTAGGTAAATGAGATTAAGATTGGATATGTTGAATGGCAGAAACTGAGCCATCATTTAAGTTAAGTTAGTTGAATTATAATTTTAAGATTGATTTATGCCAAAGAAAAGTGAAAAGGTGTCAGAGAGTTTGTGTAAGTAATATCGATTGAAGAAGTTTATAGAAACCAGATTAGTTGTTTTGGGCATGGCCAATCGAGGGTAAAAGCTGCATCGATAAATTTTGCTGCTAGAATTAGCAAGAAAAAGCATGCCAAGTAAAAGGGTTGACTAAAACTAGCTTACCTTTAGTTCATAAAAGGACATTTGTGTAAATGTAAATTTCAAACTTTAGGTGTTAGATATGTAAATACATGGGATGGTTGGATAATGATGATTGTTTGGCCAACCCAAACACCTATGATTCTACACACTTTTTCAAATTTGTTGGTGCTTAACGTTATTTATAGTTGTAACTTATTATACTTTTGGGACATTTACATACATGCCATTCTTATATTACATATCTAACACCTAAATTTTGTATCTAACACCTAAATTTTGTGATATTTACATGCATAACACTCAAATCTTTAACATCACATAATGATAACAATATTACTAACTTTTTCATGCATAGGTTTATTACAGAAGACTTGTAAATGTAAATATCAAACTTTGGTGTTATGTAAATACATTGGTTGTCTGTGATATGTAAGTAAGTTTCCCTATACTTTTTCCTGCAATTTATTGCATCTGCTGATTAGACTTGCCAATATTTTATTAGCATTGATATTTCAATATTAATAAACCATTGCAAATGGTCGAATGCCTTAGAGATGTCTTCTTAAATGACGTAAATGCTTTGAGTTGTGGGGCATAAGGCAAAGGAGACTAGTAGTTGATTGTAGCTTTTTTAGCTTAGGGGCATTTACTTACATACAACTCATTTCCTATGTATTTACATATCTAACACCAAAACCTTACCACTTACATTTATACCACTAAAATTTTACATATCACATAAAAAATGCCACCATTTTAATGGTTAAAATGTAAATACACCTATTAATGCATTGTTAAGGTGGCATGTATGTAAAAATTGGAGTATAAGTGTTTGATATGTAAATACATAAGAATTGGGTGGCATGTATGGAAATATTCCTTTAACTTATTAGTTCGTCACATGAAGGTTATGCTACAACTTTGGTTATATATTAATGTTTCATGTAACTTCACAGTGTTTGAGGAATAACCTTTTTTTTCTGTACTGGAACACCAAGAAAATATGCTCTTAGAAATTGGAGCCATTATTCATCGACAATAACTTTTACATACCCTTCAATGTAGATCATTTGGTTGTCTATTTGGCTTATTGTTTTGTTCTTTATCTGTTTTATCTTGAAGTGATGACTATGCAATTTTATATAAATTTGGTTTTGTCTATTTGTCTATTATGTAAAATTCATTTTTGAAATCTTTTCATAAAGAAAATGCTGATGAGGTCTTCTAAACAGAACTATAATTTTGTTGTGTTTGAATGCAATTTATTTGCTTACCATTATACTGAAGATACCAATAACTTTAATAACATTCTTTCAGGTATCGCATTCAAAGCGATAAAAAAATTGCTATGTGTAGCGTACACCCGACCGAACTGGCAACATTGCAGTGCCTTGGTTGCCTCAAATCTAAAATACATGTCTCCAAGAGTTATCATTGCTCGTCTAAGTGCTTCGCTGATGCATGGCAACATCATCGTGCTTTGCATGATCGTGCGAGTAATTCCATCAGCGAAAATGGGGCTGAGGAGGACGAGTTATTCGGACGATTTAGTGGCGGATCTACTGTTACTGGTATATCAGGTTCGACATCTAGGGCTGCTACTCCAGTTCCAACTAATGGTTCCGTGCCTTCGTTTCCGCTATCAATTTCAGAAAGGAGCGGTGGCGAAACATGGTTTGAAGTTGGTCGTTCAAGAACATATACGCCGACAACTGATGACATTGGAAACACGCTAAAGTTTGAATGTGTCGCCGTTAGTGTTGAGTCAAGCAAACCCGTTGGGACCCCGAGTTCGATTATGACTTCTCGTGTTATTCCTGCTCCTTGTCCTATTCCGCGACGCATGATCGAAGTGAGTGGAGCGGATGTTCTCGGGCATTTAGAATCTGATGGTCGAGGGACTTTTACTGTGCTCTCTTACAATATTCTGGCTGACTTGTATGCGACAAGTGATTCGTACAGCTATTGCCCATCCTGGGCGCTTTCTTGGCCTTATCGGCGACAGAATTTGCTACGGGAAATCATTGGTTACCATGCCGACATCATATGCCTTCAAGAAGTAATTTTCTTTTTTGGCAGATTGTTACAAGAATTAATTTGTATTATCATTTTTTGAAGATTTACATACATACCACTCAATTCCTATGTATTTACATATATAATATCTAGAATTTAGTTTTACATAAATGTCACCTTACCAATGCTTGAAAATGTGTATTTCACTTTTTAAAAGTTAAAATAGTGGTATTTTTGATGTGATATCGAATATTTGGGTGGTATAAATGTAAAAGGTTAAGTGTAGGTGTTAGATATGCAAATATAGGCATTGGGTGGTATGTATGTAAATGCCCCTATCTTTTTTAAGTAATGCTATTTTGTTAATCCATCAATTTAATAATCTGTCAAATCATATATTTTTTTCGTGTTGGTAATGTGAGTTGCCACATTTTGTAATAGATTTATTCTAATTTTTAGAACATTCTTCGATTTAAAGGTTTCCTTTTGTTGATCTGCTTTGAATACTTGGCATAATGTTTGAATAAGATAAATCCCCATTTTTTTGTATGAGTTTCCTTGTTGGATTATAAAATTCGACTTCCTATCAAAATTCCCGAAGTATTTTTTTTTAATTTCAAAATCTCAAACTTTTGTCCTGGAATTTGTTTGATCAAATGTAGTCCATTTTATTTAATTCCTTTTTTTTTACTTTTTGGCTGTAACTTTCCAGGTCCAAAGCAACCATTTTGAAGAATTTTTTTCTCCAGAACTCGACAAGCATGGGTATCAAGCTCTCTACAAGAAGAAAACCTCAGAGGTTGGACTCATTTGCTTCCCAATCTGTTTTTCATCTTCCCTATAGTGTCTTATATGTATTGTTCTTTTTTTAAGGTTTACAATGGAAATTCAAATTCACTTGATGGCTGTGCTACATTTTTCCGCAGAGATAGGTTTTCTCATGTGAAGAAATATGAGGTATCTTAGTAGAATTATACTTATTTTTGTATATTTTTGTCATTTTCTTCATGCTTAGTATCTTATTTTATGCAGGTTGAATTTAATAAAGCTGCACAATCTCTGACTGATGCTGTTATTCCTGCTAACCAGAAGAAAGTTGCTTTGAGTCGATTAATCAAGGTCTCTTATTTAATCCACTTTTCAAAATTCTTGTCATTATTTCTATTCAGATGTAATTGTTAAACATGACTTTCTTTTGCAGGATAATATTGCTTTGATTGCAGTACTAGAAGACAAATTTAGCAACCATGGTGCTGATGGCCCTGGGAGCAGACAACTTCTTTGTGTGGTTAGAGAATCAGCCTTCCCTTATTATTATTTGGTTTTTTTTTATATTAGAAAGAAAGTTGCATGCACATGCCCATTTGACTAAATATATCAGAAATTCTGTTGATTTATGGATTTCTGAAGGTTATACACGCCAATGTTATTACAACAAAAACTTTTATTGACGTGCTTAATTTTCTCGTCAATCTCCATTGCTGAATGTTCTGTCGAATTTCTTTAGTTTTTTTTTTTTCATGTTTAGTTGTATCAATATATCTCTCTGAATTTCTATCATAGAAAACAATGCAACATGTTTTTTAAATTCCATTTAATTCAAGTTTAAAAATTCTGTTTTTTTATGTTTCTTTAGGAAATTTTATCTATTTGTTTTGGCGACTTTAATGATTCAAGCGCTTGTTTAGTTAGTATTTTTGTGTAGATATATCACCCAATCTTTCAGACATTTTGCATTGTAGAGGCTTTTTTTGTTTGCCGAGATAATGATTTTGTGAATGCCATTTGTTTTTTGTGGTTATTAAATTAAAAAAAATTGAATTTCTTATAACACAACCATGAATTGCATCAAGTCCCTTTTTCCATTCAGCTGTCGCCATGAATTCAATTGCTCAGATTAAATGGCATTTAAAAGTATATTATATTGCTGTATCATTGTTTCCTTCTTTTGTTCATCCCTGTATGTTCTAGATTTGTTTGTAGTTAATGTTTGTGCTGTCCTTTTAATGAAATGTGCACTTTTTTTTATAAATTTTTATGTAAAGTGCCAAAATAGTTTCCTAACTACGTTTTTGTCCTAGAGTCCCCCTCACTTTTTTACTACGGGCTAAAATAGTTCCAAGGGAGGACTATTCTGGTAACTATTTTAGCTCTTATTAAAAGACTCTAGGGACTAAATTGGCACGTTTGTAGAAGGCTTTGGGACTAGAATGGCTCCCTGCAAAGAATTTGGGGACCATTTTGACATTTTTCTCAATTCTAATGTCTTGAATATGGTGATCTCTGCTAAACTCTGTTGAAAAAAGATCAAGCTACCCTTGAGCTGAATTTTGAGGCCTGTATTCACTTTTTTTTTTCCCCGCTTTGTTCAGGCTAATACTCATGTAAATGTGCCTCAGGAACTCACAGACGTTAAGCTTTGGCAGGTTCATTATTTGGAGTTTCTTTCTGTAATATTTTTTTTTCTTTGCCTTTTGTTCCTTCACAAGTGATTTTTATTGGTTTCTTCGATACAATTATTCCAGGTTCACACTCTTTTAAAAGGATTGGAAAAGATAGCAGTTAGTGCTGACATCCCAATGTTGGTTTGTGGTGATTTTAATTCTGTTCCAGGCAGGCATGTGCTATTATTACGAATTTACGGCTAAGCCCATTTTTGGTTTTTCACATTTTTTTCGTCTTTAGAATGATTTTCGCTTTATTTTTGGAGTTTCTGATTTGAGATTATGTGATTTGCAGTGCACCTCATGCTCTACTTGCGATGGGCAAAGTGGACCAGTTACATCCAGACTTGGCAATCGATCCCCTTGGGATCTTACGCCCTGCGAGCAAGTTAAATCATCAACTTCCACTGGTATCATTTCACTAATTTCTTTATGCTTAAACACAGTTTTGGGTAGAATTTTTGTTAATTTTTTGTGCTTCAAGCAGGTTAGTGCATACTCGTCATTTGCGAGAATGTTAAGTGTTGGTCCGAGTTTGGAGCAACAACGAAGGAGAATGGACTCTACAACAAATGAACCATTATTTACAAATTGCTCTAGGGATTTTATTGGAACCCTTGATTATATCTTTTACACAGGTAGTCCATTCTTTTATTTTTTTCATTTTTTGACATTATAAGCAAGCTATAATTTCACCTCTATTATAATAATTTGGGGCATTTACATACATACTAAACAATTCTTAAGTATTTACATATTTAACACCTAAGCATTCATATCTGCATGCATCTTACTCAAATCTTTATTATCACATCAAAAATAACATCAAATCTATTTTCTAAAAGTGAAATACATCTTTTCATGCGTATGTTTATGACACCAATGTGGTATAAGTGTAAATGTGAAACTTTGTTCGTTATGTAAATGCATAAGAATTGTGTGTTGTGTATGTGAATTTCCCTTATAATTTCTGTATATTAAAAATAATGGGCGATTCGAGTATTTGTTTCATGGAATCTAATGCATATTTATTTTCAGCTGATTCTTTGTCAGTAGAATCATTATTGGAACTTTTGGATGAGGAAAGCTTGCGGAAAGATACGGCTCTTCCATCTCCTGAATGGTCGTCTGATCATATAGCACTTTTAGCAGAATTTCGATGCAAGCCTAGAATTAGACGGTGATGATTGAGGTAACGATAGCTTTTGTGGTATTCACTTATTTTAACAACATTTTTTATGCCTATTATGAACCTTCTTAGGTATGTGAGTGGTTTTGATAGGATGATGTTGATTTCTATGCAGTGAATTAGGATTAGCATTAATATATTTTGATATCTCTATCTATGATGTATTGATATGTAAACAGAGGCATAGACATGAACATATCTATTATTACAAATATATGATGTTGACAATACATTACTAGACACACACACGCACGCACACATATCAGTGTATGTCATCCCCATCATTATATTTCACTCAATCTACAACATGTGTCAGAATGAACATTGCATACTTTGATATCATGAGGTGTTAATGTATGATAATCTTTCAATGATGAGGTACGGGCAAACATATGGGGAATTATCTATATATATGCATGGTTTGAAATAGTAGACTCTTCCTCCAAGTGATTCAATGCAAGAGGGGGATTAAGATTTTGTTTACTTATTAGTTTGTTTATCCTTTTTGGATAATTTTAAATTTGAATCTGAAGTATAATTTAAAATTTAATATATGATCTTATTTTTTCAACTCATCATTGTAACTTATTTTTATAAAAAAAATATTTTAAAGCTCGTAATTGATTTGGATTGAATATCTTGTGCCAATATGTTAACGTATATGTTTATTCAACATCGTTACTTGCTTGGCTCATGGCTTTGTTTCCAAGGCTCCATCAATAGTCCCTGATGAAATATTATATTGATTTAGTTTTTCAGGATTAATTTAAGGCTTTGCTTCATTATTCTTTTTTAATAATTGGAGGAAACTTAGAAACAATTCTCTGTTAGAGTAATTTAGTCCTTCCAGATTAAGTTTGTTGCCAACATTTCTCTGGTTGGTAGTCTGAGGACTTTATAGGTTGTTCATGCCAAATGTTTAGCAGTATCTTTTCCATTTCCTTAAAAGAAGTTATTCAACGCCAATGGAATTTGATGTAATATTTAGTTCATTTAGGAGTTGTTCAAAAATTATTTCCTATTTATTTATTTTATCAGCTAAATTGTAATTATTTGATAATTTATGTTTGAATTTGAATTATTGAAGAAATTTTAATTTTCATTCAGACAATTGATCTTTTCTTGTTGAATTATCTTATAGCTTGTTTCTAAAATAGGTGTTCATGGATCTTAATTGATTGTAATTGAATGAATTGAATCAAAATATATTTTTTTAAACGACTCTCTGAAGAAATATTTCTTCATTTTTGGGTTTCTTTTAGTACTCAATCTCTGCCCCTTTTTGTTAATCTGTTTCCATTTTTGTTATTCTATTATCCGTCAATTAGTATCAAAGCCTATAATGTCATTTCCTGCTTAGAACTGCAATTTTTAAGTTTTTTCTACTCCTCTAGTTGTCGAGTTACTTGAGTAGTTATGTTTGCTGATCCCATAATCATTGTCCTGGGTGCACACAATCTTTCGATGATTTCACCAAGAGATAGTCCTTCTTCACGGTCCTAACGTACTTGACTGTTGCGGTCTTATCATTTTGTAGTCTTCCAAGCCCTCAATCAAAATACATGCATGGGACTGAACGTTCACCAACGTCGTGATATACAAGAATCCAACCTATGTTTGTGCTACATTTGATTAAAACTTTGGCTCTGGTGCTTCATATTCTTCAAGCCGCTCAACAAGTTCCCAGCGAACAATCTAAAAATTATGATTTATTATAGGTTTACATTAAGGATTATGATGGAGTCCATCCATATATTTTTATTTTGCATGTGGATGCTTAATGAAGTTTACCTTAAGGGAGGTTTTTTGGTATATATTTTTTTGTACATCATATTTTTCCAATCAGTGAAACATCCAATTAAGTGAGAAATTAGAATAATGAACAAAATATTTATGAAATTAATAGGATAAAAACAGTATATAGCATGACGTTTTGGTGGGTTTAATATGAACTATTATCATTTAATATTGTTAGAAGATAAGTTGTTTTTCAGGTATGATAGGTAATACTAATTTTGGATTTATTATGCAAAAGTATGAAGTTATAAATGGGATTTAACATCTACAGATAAGTTTGGATGATTAAAGTGCAGAAATGTCTTAGAAAATTTTGTATGATAAGAGGACTTCATGGGGCCATGTAGGTAAATTTTAAAAAATTGCAATTATACTGATAATGTTATATGAATTTAAATGTTGGTTGTATAAACAACATTGATATCTAAGTTGAGAGTGATATATATGAGAATGTCATGATTTATATATGACAAACGTAAAACTAAATAAATTAAAGAACGAATATATTATAAAAAGTATTTTAGTGACATTTGTTAAAGATTGGACATATATTATGAAAGATAGAAGAAGTGTCCATTAACTAAGTTGATAATTTTAGTGTCAAAGAATCAGGAAGGACATGAGATAGGTTAACGGTTAGATGGATATAAGTTATTCAAACTGACTTGCAAAGAATAGTTTGTAATATCTCAATTACACTCAGTAGATACAAATGAAAAGTGAGAATTCATAATGTTAACCCAAAATATTTTTGATAGGACTAATGGTAGCAATGATGACGTGCAGTGCATCTAAACAATTTACATCCAACAGTACGCATGTATTTTGATGAAAATTTTGAATTGAATTTAGCATGCATTTGAATGAAATGCATTGAGAATTTCTGTGTATATATAAGTGGTACTTTCTCTTAATCTCAAATCTCTGACTTAAGTGATGATTTTTGACATCAACCCTATGCAATAAGGATAAAACTAATGATGATGGCAACTTGCATTCCACTGAAATAATTCACATACAACAACACACATTCTACCATCAATTATGGAGATAATCTTGTCTTTTAGAATGGCTTCAGCTGTAGGATGAGTAGAAAAGCCTAGTAAAATTTTGAATGTGAATTCATGAGATGTGAGAAAATTTTAATGCATTAACATTGTTTTCATAAAATTAAGTCAAATAGGGTATATTGATGTTTGAACTAATACTGAAATTTTGCAAAATTTACAATTTTAAGAGTTCTTTTTAATGTGTTATATGATTTTGTTTGGTCATACCTTTCTTGCAATTAATTTCCTAATTGTTTCTGCAACAAAATTTTCATTAGTTAAAGTTATTTCATATTGTTATTTGATTTGAATTTCATATATCATGTGTTCACATCAATGATATACTCTAATTTTTATAATTAATGAATAATTTTCACTTAATATTATTATGCGAACCATTTGAATTAGGAAAATGACCGGGGTAAGATAAGGAGAGTAATGAAAATGGTACCATAACTTGTAACCAATTTCTGGGAGATGAAATGATAAAGAGAAATTTTGGGTCGCATTCAATGGTAGATTCAAATTTCACTTGTAGCTTAGGTTCAAAAATGATCTCAGTTCTGTTTAGTACCACATTCATTTTTTTTTTCTGGAAATCTAAGTTTTGTGATCATTGCATGCTCAGTTTCCTTTTGAAACTCAATTACGCTTTTTCAAGCTTATGTTCTTCATGAGTATATTTCAATGCAGGTGAAGGTTCATATTTATATTTGATAATCATAGATGAAGACTCATAATGTAATTTCAATCATCTTCAACATTTAAGCATCCTCAAAAGAATATTAATAAACTCCATTTCGTTCGACAAGATTTGATTTGACTTTTTATGTTTCAGGTGTCAGTGTTAGCTTTGATGGACAAGGTCTTTCTATTTTGGGGTTTTAATTATAAATGCAATAGTTTTAATAGGATGCTTGACTATTCAGATATTATTCAAAGTCTTAGTTAAAACCTCACATCATATTTTTGGAGTTTTGTGGCTTAATTCAATTCTAATTTCTCACCCAAAACCTTTAATGAACTTGTGGCACCAAAATTGTTTTAAGATAAATTATGCTTAGCTATAAGACTTGTGAACCTTCTATAATATTCAACACTGTAGAAACATTTAATTTATAACCCTTAAATTGATCATGTAGCTTATCCCTATATTTTCTAAATGACAAATTGTTCTTTTAACTATATCTTGATTTTTCTTATTTGCAAAGACTAAATAATAAGATTGAGCATGCTCCACGGATTTTGTACTAACAATTTCCATGTTCTCAGAATCAAATAGATGGTAATATTTAAGTATCAAATTATTGTTCCACTATGAAATTTTTTGAAGTTCATAACTATAATCTTATCAAATGTGGGAATATAATTTGGAACATAATAATCATGTTGTTGTTGCATAATACCCACTCAATTATTAAGTCCTACTTTTATTTGCGTGATGATACCATAATATTCATTGATTCCATCTTTGATGTAGGATGCTTTAGAGTTTAGGTTAGTGCGAACTTAGGACGTATGGCTAAAGTGTGCAACAGATTAAAATTCACCTTCCGACAACTGTTTGTTAGATAAATTTTAGTCCATTTTCTGTAAACTAATTCAACATATAAAACAAGTGCAAAATCTAAAATTTTAAATTTAGCAAAAAATATGAGAAAGAAGTAAAAGCAAATAATATTATGATTTTTACTACAAGCAGACATGACCAAATCACAATCATACATGCAAAGCCAAAAAGAAGGAAAAAAGAAAAAGGGTAACAATCTCGCTAAATAGAAGATTCATGCCTTACGAAGAGAAAATTTCCCTGGAAGTTGTTATCAAGACTTGCCCCACATCTTGCTTGAAGAAGTTACACCAACTTGTACATAAGTTTTGAATGAAAATCTAGAGTTATGAATGGTCATTGTTTTGCATGCATGGAAATTTTCGAAAACTCGATCAAAATTGGTAGTTTATGAGATTTTTTTTTTTTTTCTAGAAAAGAAGAAACGCCATTAAAACTACTAACTTCAATTCAAAAATTGCAATAAAGCAATTCCTGATTCAACTATTTTGAGAAAAAATTCTTATGAAAGAACCAAAGAGGATTGAAAAAGTTGTAGGGAATGTTTTGAATAGGAAATGCGAACATCAACGTTTAATGGAACAGAGAGTCAAAGTTGCATTAGAAAAGTTGTAGGGAATCATCATATGCATGCTACATAATTTAGAAGAAATTAAAATATAGAAAATACAACTAAAACAACATTAGAACACAAATTGTCATTGTGCTATTCTCAATACCCTCATTTTAGAGTTTTTACGATGCTAGACTCAACTTTTTATTGCTATTGCGCCGAAGTTTCAGTGGTGATATGATTGTTGCCTTACACTTGTTTTACACTTGGAGCCATATAACTATGTTGAATATTCATTTATAATATTCTAAAAAAACTCGATTTTAACCACTCATCTTTTTAGTTTTCATCCTAATGTATTTCATTAACTATTGCATCTAGGCCATTTTGAGCTTCAATAAGCCTAATAATTATTATCAATTAATTAAATTTTATATCATCAATTGAATCGTTGTTTTACAAAATTTAACCCCTTATCTTCTAGAAGCGCCTTCCATCGCTCTTATATTCAGTTTAGGAAACATATCTTTTATGAGAATTGTCTTTATGAATAACATATATTAAGGTGCCTTAATTTGAATTTCTTTTAAGCATCTCCATAACAAAAATTAACTGATTTTGACTTATACAAAATCCTGATATAACTCTATTTTCATTAAAAAAATTCATCACAAAATACCTGTAGTGCTACTTCATGTTGGATTGTGTTTGTCTTTACTAACTTCGATCTATATGTAATACAATTTCTATTCAATGCCTCACAAATTAGTTCCCTCTGTTCTTGATCAATTCTTCTTAAGATTTCATCACAGTATACTATGTTTCCTTGTTTATTTCTTTTCCATCAATTGTTTTAGTAGTTGATCTTTTGAGTATATTTTTAGTGAGCGCAGAGTGATGCGCACTAGATCTCCATAGTAGATGGGAACCATGTAATTAAGTCTACTTTGATTAATTATTACATTACGTATATATCCTACACGTATATCTTCTTAGTTGTGCACACATTTTTTCTTGAATGCCTATCAAAATAGTTATTTTGTTAGTTAGTTTTATACTTCTTAAGGTCAATACACACCATATGAAGCCTCGTTTATCGCTATGTATTATTTCACTGAATTGTTTGTGCACAAAGCTTATCTTCATTGTAGGTATTCCAAGTAAGAAAGTTTAATTCTTAGACCTTATTATGCACAAAGTTCATCTTCATTGTAGATGTTCTAAGTCAAGGTATATTTATATTCTCTCTTCCTAAACCTTATTGTTTGACTTGAAAAGTTTAATTCTTCTATTGTCAATTTAACACTAGAAATATATTTTATTTTTAATTAGTGTACTAAAATGTGTTTTATCCAATCATTTGCCTTTTTCTTTAATCTTTAAATTTTATGTCAAAATACTTCTCCACCATGTTACCCTCATATCTCCCTTGAATCTTGAAATCCAAATATGGATGTCATTTGAATCTAAAATTTTTACTTTCATGTATAGTTAATTCAAATTAATTTTTAAAATCAATTAACTAGTAAGGATTTCATTCTATTTATTTTTCATAAAAAGAGCTTGAAAACTTATATTTATCTCTATTTTGTGGGAGCATTTTCATCTTCATGTTTACATATTCAATAAAGATTTTAACATCTTCACTATTCAAGGCTGGTTGGTTTAATGTTTCCATTAAATTAATGGGTTGTTGTTTATGAGAAGCAGTGACGAGTTTGATGTTCGATAATAAGAATAACATCAGTGGTCAACATTAAGTTAGTCTTGATTGTGGTGAAGTTCAAAGCTATTAGATTATCATAATCTTGACGATGGTTTATAAAAAACAAAAATAAAAGAATTCCCAATGCCTATTGATTATTCTAAATAATCTTTCATATTTTTAAGTAAGATGACATTAATCCAAATGCACAATAGTTGGAAGACAACATTGCTACCTAAATATCATCATTTTCCAGACAACAATATTATTTAAATTACATTTAAACAAATAGTTCTTCAATACATTTAACTTGATCAAGGCTCTAAATTTTTTTCTAAAAGTTTGTTTGTGATCTATCTCTCTCTCTCTCTCTCTCTCT